AGCGGGACGCACCTCCTCAAGACTTGCTGAATCTTTTTTATTTATGTTTTTACTGGGAATGGACTACACAGCCAAGATGGAGATTAACATGAGCCAGCAGCAGCTGATGCCGCCTGCCTGCTTCTTCTCATCCGCGCAGAGCGTCCCTCTGAGCCCGAGTGGCAGCAGCAGCAGCAGCAGCGGGAAGTCAGGCTCCAAGCAGCCCAAGAGGCAGCGCTCATCCTCCCCGGAGCTGCTGCGGTGCAAGCGGAGACTGAACTTCGCGGGGTTTGGCTACAGTCTGCCGCCGCAGCAGCCGCACGCAGTGGCACGGAGGAACGAGAGGGAGCGTAACCGGGTGAAGCTGGTCAACAACGGATTCGCTACTCTGCGCGAGCACGTCCCCAACGGAGCCGCCAACAAGAAGATGAGCAAGGTGGAGACGCTGCGCTCAGCCGTGGAGTACATCCGGGCACTGCAGCAGCTGCTGGACGAACACGACGCGGTGAGCGCAGCCTTTCAGTCCGGCGTCCTGTCGCCCGCCATGTCACAGGGATACACCGCTGACATGAACTCCATGGCAGGTTCACCGGTGTCCTCGTACTCATCGGACGAGGGCTCATACGACGCCCTCAGTCCGGAGGAGCAGGAGCTGCTAGACTTCACCAACTGGTTCTGAGCATCTATAATAGGTAAGACAAGTTCATATCAGAATTTATAACATACATGATTATAGATGATTCAAGATAACAGTCCTGAACAGTGCATTAACCTTTATTTCCCTTCCTCTCCTCAGATGTATAGATCTACTCACTTTACTGTGGAGGTGCGCTTGGGATGGTCCCGGAGGAGGCAGGCTGTCCTCATGAACAAGACGCACTGTAAAGGTGTTTTCGTCCCGGGTTACCCCCGGCTCTCCCAGACAAACACGGCCTTAAAGTCCTAAAAACTCTGTGGAAATCAGGCCGGAGATCAGCGCCAAAGGATTAAAGGAAGACGGGTCTCCTGACAGCGTGGGAATCCAAGCTTCTGTGCCCATGATAAACAAAAAAGTGAAATCATGCTCTTCACATTAAAGACATTATTTAATACGTGGCTCTTTAACTATGCTAAATCCAATCACAGAACTCAAACCCTTTGGTAAACCTCGCAGACGTTTCAATTCAGAAAATGCTTCCAAGTCGAGGATTTATTCTATAAATGTCTATATCAAACGCTTTTTTGAAATATATTAAGATATTTTTGTATGTAAGAGATTTATAGATGTTTTGTACACATCCTTTTGTATATATTTTGTCTATATATTACGAAGTTGCTTCTATACCTCCTGCCTATGACGTGTAGTCTATTATTCTCTGGCTCTTCTGTTCATGAGGTTTCCAGAAGGAGTTTGACACTCCGAAGTTTTATTCTAGCACCAATGTGTCTTATTTAATAGCAAAACCATGTTATTGCATTATGTTATGAAGTTCACAATGATCAAAACGTATGCAGCTATTGTCCAAACCAAGCGCGATGGCCATGCATTGTCTCTTTACACTGCCAGCTCTTTATTGTCTTCACATAAACTGATGTTGGAAAAGTCTTATAAGCATATTTTCTACACTCTAGTCCAACAATAAAATGATTTGCTACTGAATTTATTTTCTCTGTCTTGTTATTTCGGGTGTATTCAAAGGAGGGGGGACATTTTTGGTTACAGCTTTCAACGTAGTAGAAAGTTGGAGAAAGGTTGGAGAAAAAAGCGAGAGGGAGCTATCAAATGAAACAACTTTACGCACACTTTACGCACGCTTTATTTGCTGTCAAGTCAGTCAATTTCACAACAAAATAGCTACAGTCTCTGGTCATAATGTCCGAGGGTGCCTAATCCCGTTTTTTAATTGGACAGTATCTACAATAGAATCAAACATGTTGAGCGAAAAGTAAATCTGGTGTAACAAGTGCGTAAAACTAAAGGCATCCCTCTTTATTTCAAAGTATGCACAGTTATGAAACCCTATTGGCCGTAAAATACAATGACTGACGACGTATTTCTCTTACATTTGGGATTTTAAAGTATCAGAATCCTAGCAAAAATAATGTATCACTTTCAAAAAAGTTATTAATTATTTCAGTCGAGTTTTATGTCCTCGTAGTTTGATCTACCACGAAGAGATTGGTGCAGCTTTAAACGGGGCGTTAACTGCTCCTTGCATTAAAAACATATATAAATAAAGTGAATTCACGATATATAAAGTTCATGCACACAAACAGGATACACTTTAAGAAAGCACCAAAGCAGTAATATAGATAATAGATGGGCCTATTTTTCATCCAAACTTCGCAAATGAAGTGAAACTTTGATTAAAACTTATTTAAACTTGATTTAACCGTCTTATAGCATAATTTACATTACACAAAGGGAATGGCAGTGGAATGACCACACTTTTGCGACCACCAACAGATGTGGAGGTAGAGCTTGTGTTTCTGCAAAACTAAGTTTGACAGGTAGGGAGGCTGCCGGCGGACGCGTGTCTGCTCTAATGAGTGAATGGGTCTGTGCGGTGGTCGAGTGGAGACACAGAGCTGAACTGGCTGATGGCGTGTGCTTCATGACAGCAGGCTGAACACACAATAACTCACCACCTGGAAAGGGGTGGGAGGTAGTGTGTGTGTGTGTGTGTGTGTGTGTGTGTGTGTGTGTGTGTGTGTGTGTGTGTGTGTGTGTGTGTGTGTGTGTGTGTGTGTGTCAGAGCACTTTAGCTGGTCTTGTAGTTAAAGTTTTTGAAATATTTAACTTAGATATTTTATAAAATTACGAAATTTCCACATTTGACTCTTATTGAATCAAACATAAAATGGAATGTTACCAACATTTTACATTTCATCCACAGAGATAGCGTGTACAGGGATTTTCTCAAAGGATGTCATGGACCACCAAGGGGCCATAAGAGGATCCCTTGAAAAATTTAAAAGGGCAAAAATAAGGTGAGGCAGAACTAGTCAGAGTAGTATACATTAGCACATTTTTATTAATTTCCATTTAAACTATAGACTTATGTTTTTTTTAAACATAGTTGTCCCAAGTCATTTAATAACAGCAATACAAATCATTAAAGGGATTAATTGTATTTTGGTTAAGATATGAACATGTTTACAAAAGTGTCGCCAGATTTGTATAATCTTTAAGTATGACTGGTTTCCAAAGTGTCCGTCAGCTATGGAATGGTAATGTTAAAACTGTCTTTAAATATTTAGGATTAGCACATTAATCATCTGAAATAAAAAATACTGTGTTGTGTTCCCTATTCTGATTGACAAGCCTTTTCAGTCAGTCGGGCTTTTAACATAACACACTTCAAATCTATTGGCATTTTTCATTTATTTTGTTTATTTGGATAAACAAATAAATGATAATTGAACAATTCATTTCTAATAAAGGACAATATAGAAATAGTCAATGAAATACAAATGAATACTAATCACAAACAACATGTCAAGAAGTTCATTAAGTACATTGTGTGTGTATTAGACCAAAGTTAATGCATACATGTGATAAAATACTTTACTACGATGTTTAGAATATTAGCAGGTTCAACTCATATGCTTCACTTAAACATGTAGAAAAAGGTTTGCTGTTTCTGATGTAGCATTGTAGCACTAATTCACTGTAAACATTGACTTAGTCCTAACTAAGGCTTCTGGTCTGGGGGGGCGACAGGTTTTTATTGGGGGGTTTCATTCCTACCAATCAGTATGCAAACATGTGGACATCTTTCTTTGAGGCAAAAACAAAACTGGAATGTTTATGCCTGCTTCCCAATGACTTACAATACAACTCACTTTAAATAGATTTTTTTGTTGTATTATATTAGAAATAGCAGCAGATTTGAAGAAGAAATTAAGGGCAACATTTTCACCTCTGTGGTAGATTTAGCAGTACAAGTATGTAGCTGTTAATAAATAGTGCAAATACACAAAAAGTCAGTTCTCAAGAGCCCAAACAAAACTATTTGAGTAATGTTAAACTTTGGAGACTTCTTTTGTGTCAGAGCTAATACTGTCATTTAAAAAGAATAAATAACCTTATGTAGTATACACAAATTGCCTGTGTTTCAAAAGTGAAAGTAAAATGAGGAAGATATAGCTAACGGAAGAAAATGCTGACTGAAGACAAAGCCGATAGTAATATTTATATATCTTTTTACTTAATTTCTTATGTTTTTAGAAATATCTTAACCTTATTTATTATTTAAAATGAACGTACTAACTTTAACTTCTTATGTTATGTTTATATAAATGCTTGTATTAAATTGTATAATAGTTTATTTAATCTATCTATTTGTTATTATATATTAAAATGGCACAACTGTCACAAAACCCAACTTCCCCAGAAATAAATGAAGAAATCTAATTCTGATACATTTGACATACAACTAAGTTCCATGCGGTACAATAAACATTAAAGGGCCCATGTCATGCTTTTCCGGTTATTACCCGTCCCCTTGTGTGTTATGTAGCTTTTTCTGCATGTAAATGGTCTGCAGAGTAACAAACCTTCAAAGTACACCCTGTAGCGAGTAAAACTCTAACACAGAAAATACCTGTCTATGCTGCCCCAGAACGCCTCGTTGGAGATTTCTCTTTTTCCATTGTTTGCTTCCTGGGTTCTGTGACGTGTGAATACCCAAATCAACAACAAATGACCGGATTGGCCCAAATTGACCAATCCGGAGCACCTCACACACCAGGATCCCTTGGCTAACTAACAGGGAGTACCCATTGACTTGCATAGAGCTCCCTGAACGCTGGTAATAGACGAGTTGGGATGGCGGAGAAATGCTCTCCGCAGATCCATTCTCACAGCGTTATAAACCTTTTTCTTACTCAATATCAAGCCACACTTATTGTTTTTACTTCGGCTGTGAGTGTTTGTGTGTGCTCTGGATGAGTTTCGCTTGTTCTCGCTGTATCGCCGACCAGGAAACCTGTCCGCTCCTCACAGCAGCTCGCAGCAGCGGCTCGCAGCAACGAGCATCGCAACGAGCATCGCAACGAGCCTCGCAACGTCCCGACCAATCAGAGCACACTGGGCTCACAGGGAGGGGAGGGCAGGAGCTCCAACATGCCGTTTAGGACAGAGAGTGTGAATACCTGGTGAATCAAATCAAACCAAATCAAGTTTTATTTATATAGCACATTTATAAACGATTTTTGGTCAAGCCAAAGTGCTGTACATAAAATAAAAATAGCCTACAGTAGGTGAATACACATGTGGGGAATACACATACAATACAGAGATGCTGTATGAGAAACCAATGTGATTTTGGAAAATTGCACAATTTAAATCTATTCTAGTATACCTGAACAATGGAAATATGATCAGTAGAAATGGCCATGACATGGAACGTTTAAGAGTGCATGGTTTATCTTAAAAGTCAATAAAAAAACAGGTTCAACATTAGTGAAGGTTTTTTCCATGATGACAAATGTTGTGTACAAAACGCTCCTGATGTGACCATCCTGCTCTGCTGCCTGTCACACTGCATCATGTTTCTATGTCTGTCGAGCGTGTACGAACCGCAGGGGAGCAAGGCCGAATCTAATTGGCAAAGCTGAAGCAAAACAATGGCTCAAACTATATCAGATGAATATCTTATTGAATATCATTCATCAGTGTTGATTAAGTTGGATGGAAGAGAACAACAGGCTGAGTGGCTCAAATATTGTTGTTCACTGCAGAACAATAAGCAGTTGTTGCATCAGAAAATGAACCTCGCCGCCAAAGCAGCATTTATTTATTGCAAATAATATAATAGTTCTGTGGCACATTTAAAGCTGTTTCTAATGCAATACTTTGTTCAGTGCTGCAGAACATTTCAGGACCATAGACAGCACTTTACAGCCATATAAGACTCAATGTGGCAAAAGGAAACAGCTTTATGTGCGTTTTCTTGATAAATGTTCTATACACATCTCTCATTATCCTTGATGATGCAAATATCAAGCTTTCTGGGGAAGTCATAAGTGAAACTAAGTACATTTAAAGTGGACCTATTATGCTATATTGGAAACATATATTGTAGGGCCATACCTATACAAAACATGTCTGTGAAGTTTTTTGCTTAAAATACCAAACAGATCCCCCATTGTAGCCATGCCTCACACTGCTCATAGCCCCTCTTTTGCAGCCCTGCGAGAACAGTCCCCTTTTAACATTTGCTCCCGTTTAATATTATGGGCGTCATAGCCATAGACTATAAAAGTATTACCCAAGGCTGAATCATAAACTAAACTGTATCTATATCAAGTACAGTAACTACAACTAGCTAACGTTGTAGCCTAGCAGAGTGGACAAGTTGCTGTTAGCTGACAGTGAGGCACGTACCTGTTCATCAAAGTGACCACGCCCTAATTTATGCAGACACTTTAAGACCTAATATAAATTAAAGCTGCAAGCAGCATTGAGCGGGTCTTCGACGCTCCGCAGGCTGTTGTCCACACGTCGACGTGTGTAGGTGTCTCGAGGACTCGGCCGTTGGCAAACGTGGGAAGTTTCAGGCCGATCGGACAATGTCTTTGAGTTACAGCAGTAACACAAACGATTTTGTTTGATGGCGGGTGATCTGTCGCCATGGCAACGGCATATGATGACATCCCATAATATGCTTAGATTTGTTGAGGACTGCCTCGTTATCAAACCTGTGAAGTTTTGGGCCGTTTGGAGCATGTTAACTGGAGTTATGAGAAAACCGTGTTTCACGCCGACCATTTTGTTACCATAGCAACTACATTTGACGAAATCTGAAAACTGACACATATATGTCTCGAGGGGTTGACGGTTAGCACACATGTGACATTTGAACCCTTTTTTACCATTTACACAGGAGTAATAGCAATATCGTGCTTAACGGCGAGGGGTGTGTTGCCATGGCAACAGCTTTTGGGGAAAACTCACTATTGTCATATGGAGGTGTTGAGGGCCGGACCATTAACTGTAATCTGAAGTCTGGTGCCGTTTAGACGTTTTCCCATTGAATTACGACAACACCAGGTTTTTTAGCGAGGACATAGAGCTGTTGAGGGCCGGACCATCAATGATAGTCTGAAGTCTGGTGCTGTTTGGACGATTTTCCATTGAATTACGACAACACCAGGTTTATTGGCGAGGGACGCGTTGCCATGGCAACGGCATATGATGACATCCCATAATTGACATAGAGCTGTTGAGGGCCGGACCATTAATGATAGTCTGAAGTCTGGTGCTGTTTGGACGATTTTCCATTGACTTACAACAACATCGTATTTTTTGGCGAGGGATACGTTTCCATGGAAACGGCATACGGTGAGATTTCAGATTTCACGTTGAGCTGTTGAGGCATGGACCGGTGATATAAAAGTGAAGATTGGGGGACGATGGGACCGTGTCCATTGGAGTTAAAGCGACACCGTTGTTTATGGCGAAGGATCCGTCGCCATGGTAACGCCAAATTAAGTAACATCAGATTTGACCTAGAGCTGTTTAGGGCTGTAGTGGCATCATGTGAAGTTTGGTGGCGTTTGGTGACTGGGCTCACGCGGCCTATCAGCCGTCATGATTTCCGAACCTTTTCTGTGCTTTTGCCGGTCGTTTTCCCTGTTTTTGGGTGTTTTTCGCAGGTTTATCGGTCGCTGCGTGACCGATTTCAATAGGGTCTTCGCCGACCTAGGTCTCAGACCCTAATAAAGGGTTGCGTTATAAAAAAATTCACTCACCAATTCATAATCATGAAGGTGGAATCTAACTATATCCCAAATAATTTGTATTGCATGTAAACATGTTTATTTCTGCTGTAAAGTTGGGCATTTTAACATGGGGGTCTATGGAAATTGATCCTTTCTGCAGTCATCGCCTATCGGCCAATAGATGAACTGCAGTTTGTGGCACTTCCTTATTGGCCTCCCGGCTCTGCCCCAGAGTTTTCCACTTGGTTAGCACTGTCACTACCCGATCTGCAGCCCTGCCCTATCTGTAGTGTGCATGTGCGAGATGGTCCACCATATTTGACAACTACATACGGCAACTCTAATAGGACACTTGACACAGTGGCGTTTGGCAAAGCAGAAAAAGAACCCTAAAAAAACCCGACAATATTAATCTGAACGAGAGAGATGAGTTATTGTTATTACAACGTGACTTCACTATTATTTAACAACTCCTTTTATTGGGTCATTTTATTGGGTTAAGTACATTGTCAGAATAAGTGAGAAATGGATTTCACTTCTGTTAGACAGCTATCATATATACTGAAGAAATATTGACTGTGAATGTATGCAATATGTATGGAATTCATAATTTATATCTAATTACATTAACTGTGAATGTCCTTCATTTTATTTCAAATAAAATAAAATAAAAGATTTTTGTATAGATATTTGAGACGTTTATGATCATGCACGATGCAAATCGGGCAGCCGTCTAGACGTCAAATGTCCTATTAGAGTTGCCGTATGTAGTTGTCAAATATGGCGGACCATCTCGCACATGCGCACTGCAGATAGGGCAGGGATGCAGATCGGGTAGTGACAAGCACCCCCCCCCTTTTTTTTTTTTTTTTTTAAAAGCTGTGTGTACAGAGGAAAAGAGAGAGGGTTTCGTTTTCTGTCACTTTGAGAGTTCCCTGACACATATTTGTGTATAAAAGACATCAAAAAGTGCATTTTGCATGATAGGTCCCCTTTAAAATGTCTAGCTGGCCCAAAACACAGTTTGTCCATGCCTAAAACAAGAGCACACGTTTTATTTTGTTGTAAACCACTAACAAGCTTGCAGTAATTTATAACACTATTTCCAAAGGCATTAGATATGTCAAAAGCTGACTATTTTGGCTCTTGGCGGAGTTATATTGGCAGCTATCTTTCCAACATGTTGTTGACATTCCTTTAGTTCTTTTCTCCAAGTCTGAGATATCGTGGATGTCGGAAAGAGTTCGGAGAAGCTGTTGTGAAGCTTTTTTCATAATACCACAGTGCCTAATTCATTCCCTTGAATCTAAGCTCTCTGTTCGTACAGTACTGATTGTATAGTGGCAGTGAGGCTGATACCTGGCATTGCAGTGAAAGAGCTCAGAGGTTGCTGGAGTCATCGAGAGGGTTGGCGATGACAGACTTGTGGATGAGCATGAAGAGGGGCAGGTGGGCCAGGAAGTCCAGCAGGTCGAGGGGGGGTGTGCTCTTCAGCTCCAGCCTGATGGCCTCCTCCTGCTCCAGATGGATTCCTCCGGCCTTCAGCTCCAGAAGAAGCTGCTCCGTGCTGATGAAGCCCTGCAGAGCTCCAGCGTCTCCATGCTGCTCCTCCAGGAGGAACAGGAACAGTTGCTGCATCATAATAATAACAATTTTCATAAATAACAGTATAAAAACGTCAATTGGCCTCACTCTAAGCACAGAAGTGGGTGTGTTTGTGTGTGTGACTCAGGTAGCCTCGTATTACCTGCCTTGTTTGAGTGCACCTGTTTGCACTGTTAACGCAGTCAAGGTGATAATTGTTGGGGGAGGGGGAATAATCCTTCTGGCATTTTGCCGATTCTCATGTTCCTCCTGCCTTTCAGTTGGTAAGGACTTCCTTCCATGAAAGAGGGCCGGGCCTGGGCCAGCTGCTAGCCAGTCCCGGTCCATCTGAGATCAGCCGTGTGTCCCGGGCTGATTACAGGGCAGGGCGGAGTGGACGGCATGTTCACTGCTGGGCACTTTAATGAGATTAGTGCCTTGCTAATCTATGAAAGGGAAAAGCACCCCTCTCTTTCTCTCTCTGGCTTGCTTCCCTCATTTCTATGCATGAGGGCTGAGTGTCTTTCATTGAAAAAAAAGCTAGCTTTACAAAGCATGCTTTGGAATTGCTCTTCAAAGTGTTTACTAGTATTTATTACATTATAATTATACCTGCGGAGCCTTAAAAGAGAGGCAGAGACATTGTTTGTGTCATGAATGTGACTCATGGGAGAGTTAATCTGATGTTGCGCGAAGGTAATCAAGTGCACCTTGTGAAAACAGAGTGCAAACATGTGGTGGGGAGTTCTTTTCAGCACACAAAAAACAGTTCAAGAGAATCTAAGCCAAACCTTTACATTACCTTTGCTTTGAAGAGCCTCACTTCTAAGGAGCGGAAGTCCATGTTGGTGATTTGTGATCGCATAAACTCACTGGAATAAGAAAGAAAAGTGATCAATTGGCTAAAGTTGCTTCTGCATGAACATGTGAGCATGGTTTTCAAAGAAGTGCTCTACTGATTTAGTGTTGCATTTTCATAAAGTGGGGGGAAGACAGAGAATACATCAAGAATGGTCAGCGGAGGTGAATATATTTTGTCCCTTGTGCGGTTCAAACTGGCTTTTGATGAATACTTGGCTGCCACTGAAGACATATTGAGGACACTCGGCGGTGGCGGGTGATTTTTGGCGGGTCATCCAGTGCAATGTTGTGTTTGCAGAGCGCTGTGATGGTAAAGTGTTCTGAGCCCATTGTGGTTGCTCACAGTGGCCTGGCTGACAAACAATACGCGGGCACACGTGGACACCCCGCCACAGTAACGGATAAAACTGGTTTTTGGGACAGTGGGTGTGGTCGGGGGGTGCTGGAGCAGGGTGAGTGGGGGTTCGTGTGCAGGTTTATTTAGGGAGGGGAATCTGGACCTGGGCACACTCTGGTGCAATGTGAATACTGGCAGACCAACAAAATGTAGGTCCACTGGGATAATTGGAGAGAGACACGACCAATTGTGTTGGGACAGAGCTGTCCTCTGCAGCGTGTGGCACAGCGACCGTCAGCGCGGCTCTAACGAGGGGCCCGGTGTTAATGAGCCCCTCCTCGCTCAATGGCCTGCAAGAGGGAAGAATAGCCAAGCGCTAGGCCAACGAGTGCAATGCACGCCTGACTGCTCCCTGCACTGTGATTGGCCCATGTCCTCCAACCCGGTGCAGGCGGGGGCTTGACGGGGATGAGGCGAGACAGGGCAGCTAATGATCATTAATTGCACTTGGTTTGCAGAAAAAGAGTCCGAATGCTGGTGTGCTAAGGACACTGGCGTGATAATGGCGAGCGTAAACGAGGTGCTTGGGGTCCGCTGATGGACTGAGGGGAAGATAATAGCAGCCTAGCGCATTTTCTTTGGCCCGCCCTCCTCTGGCACCCTGCTGGGGCCGACACAGAAGACTTCTCGCTTACGTAATGCCCAACATTTTGGCGCTCTCCCCGTTGGGGGGCTGGTATACAGATCTGCGGAGGGGGGTGAAGGGATGCAAACACATTCTGACCTAGTTTGACTTGACAGAATTGAGAGTTGTTTTGGGATATATTTGAGCGGGACTCGTGTTGTCAGACTGTTTCTGTGGCGGGGGGCTGCTCTAGTTTCTGCTGTGTCATGTTTTCACCAACATTCAGAGGTGGAGAGAAATTAAATTAATGTAATTGTCGCAATAACGTACAATTTTGAAGTTCTTGTACTTGAGTATTTAGACTTCCTGCTAGTCTTTATTTCTGCTCCTGACAAAATTAAGAGGCAAATATTGTAACTTTTAACTCCACTACATTTATTTGATCAATTTAGTCACTTTGAAAATTCAGATTGAGATGAGTTACATGAAACATAAACAACAAATAATGGTTAATATGGTTAAACAGGTTAATATAAAATGTTATTGATTCATTACTGGATTTCACAGGCTACCAAGCAGTTCGTAAAGATGTGCAAATATAATACATAATCAAACATTCTTTTTTTTGTGGCTATTGGGCAGATTGACTCACTCCCTCTTTTAAAATGTGGACTTTTACATGTTGTCGGAGTTGTTCTACTTTCAGTTTAGTAAGAGATGTAAGTATTTTGTCCAGCAGTGCCATCATTAGTGCTCCTTCACTCCCTGACTAATTTAGTCCGGAGAGTTTCCCGGAGCGAGGATGCTTACAGTAACTCTCCTCGCGCACGCATGCACGCTCACACAGCACACAAGCATTAAGGACAGTGACAATAACACTGACGGCTCCACTGATGCCGTTTGGGAATCCTGCATGGCAATGTGCTTCTTGGCAGGTCATGTGACTTGCCCTGAGGGAATGTGGCGCTGTGTGAGGTGGACTTGTTGGGGAGCACAATGCTACACAGGGACAGATGGGCTGAGTCAAGGGCCAAAACAGCAAGGGCGAGAGGTAGGCAACAAGAGGGCCGGGGGAGATTAGAGACATGAGAGGGGAGGACAGTTAAAGTTGAAAAGAAAAGAGGAGAGCGACGGGGGGAAGGGTGCAATTAGTGCGAGGTAAAATGGGAAGAAGAAAAATAAATATTCGAAGAAATTCAGGAAGTACCTCCTCAGATTTCAAAGTCTTACATGATCAGAACATCTGATTGTGTAACTACCGTTGCAGCTCATTTCTTAAATAGGATTAGAGACAACAGGATTAAGTGAAGCAGGTAAGAGGATCAATTTAGTTTAGTTGGGATGAGATGACAGAAGGATGCTATTGTTTTCGCCATGTTTAGGAGCCGGCATTATGAACCCTGATCTTCTTATTATTTAAATTGCAAAAAGGAGTTTTGTGGAGAGAGGTTTAATATGGTCATTCATTATCATTACTATAATTGCCTCCATAGAGAGCAGACACCCTGGTTTCTCTGCTCCAGTCTCCAGTCCTCCTCTGATACGGCACACAAAGGGCTGGCCGTAAATCAGAGGACCCATGACCCTGACCCCGTCCTCGCTGAGAGGGAGCTCTCACTGCAGGGTGAGGGCTTCGGGAGCAGGCTTTGACCCTCAGAGACCTCCAGAGCAGGCATGGCTCCACACACTCCTGTCTGTAGGAAGCTATACCCCCTCAGGCAAAAAAAAAGCGATGTGTGTGGGAATCTGCGGCATATGGGTCATAGAGAATCATGTTTTCTGTCTGCACTGGGTTCAATGTAGGGCTGCAAAGAATTATCATTATAAATTCATCTGTATAATATTTTCAAAATGAACTGTTTTGACAAGAAAATATCAGGAAATGGACACAATTGCTTTTATACCTCCTCAAATGTTTATTTTGTTCTAAAAGCCAGTCCAATAACCACATTTATATATCATAAGAAAAGTGTCAAGGCACTCAATTAATAAAATGCCTATATTTTTATCGCATACTCATGATAGACCTCAAACACAACTCCCTGATTAAAGCTTGATGGCAAAAGTATCTGCTCTTCTTTAGGTCTAACATGGTTTTTATTACAATAAAGGCATTTTTAAGAGTTTAAAAGGATTGCTTTTTAGAGTAAAGGGTTTTAGATGTATCAAAATTCGAGGACTTTTTGAGTCCAGAAAGTGCTCCTACCCAAAAAAAATGCAAGCACATATATTCAATAAAAAAAATGATATAAATCATTATTTTAAGTGCTCAGGCATTTGCCATTATCTCATCCAATATCATGACTTTGACTTCTGAAGTCATACGTTTGAAGACACAAGGAGAAGAGGATCAGAGGGAGAACCCCACACGTCGACAACATCACTGGAACAAATTTGCGTACACACACACTTATTCTTATTTATGGCAGGTCGTGGACTCGTCTTCCTGCTTTATTGAGGAGTTCAGAGTGTGTTTGCTGAAGGTCACTTACTCCATGGTGGCTATTTTCTGTGCCAGGCTCGCAATCACAGCAAAGAGCCTCAGGTCCACCAGCCCATCTGTCACTCTGAAGTCCACCATCTCCAGGATCTAAGACAAAAAGAACAGAACCTTGGTTCAGACTGAGACATCTCAAAAGGTATCCAGGGATGGATTGCCATGACATTTTATGATCCACAGATGATGAGTGATGATTTGGGGGTGCCCTGACCTTTTCCTTTAGCCCAGACAAAAGGTTAAAATGTGTGGTTTTGAGTCCTAATAGATTGCCGAGAAACTTGATACACAAATTTGTAATTAACTGTACGTCGGTGATCCTCTGATTTGACTTATAGCGCACTATAGCACAGTAAGATATTTCCAATTTCAAGACTAAAGGCCTGCAAAACTAACACGTTGCCATCAGCTCAAGATGTACTACATTGGTTATGTGCTAATTAGCTCATTTTAGCATGCCAACACTGAGATGGTGACCATAGCAAACATTTTACCTTCTCAACATCGACATGTTAGCATCCTGACTTTGCTATGTTACAGAGACTCCATCATGTGGTTTAAAATGTTATTTTGCAACTTTGTTTTCTTTTAAAAGGCTATACTTTCATATTTATTTGCAGTAAATTACCTATAAAAGCTTAGATCTCTTGCAAAAGCGTTATTGAACGTTCATGATTTAATGTAAAATGATCAAAAACTTGATAGAGAGAATTTAACAATCTGTTCACTATGGATTTATTAAAAAGATTGTAAAAAAAAAAAGTAATGTATGTATTCTTTTTATACGGTACGTCTACGGTACCCTATAGACATAGATCTCTTCTTTGTCCGACAGCAGCTCTGGTGGGATGATGTTTTTAAGAGCAAGTAGAACCTGCAGGCAGGAGAGGTAGCCGGCGCCATCACTGTCCTCCTGCAAAGAAATACAAAATAAAAATTCTCAATTAAAGATCCAATAAGTACACCAAACACTTAATGTTCTATTTAAGAAAATACTGAAAATAAATGTCAGTTGAAGCCCTATCATCCTCGTCATTGAGGAAAGTCTCATTGCTCGTAATAGGGTGCAACACATTACAGTGAGTGAAAGAAGATATCCAGAATAAAAAGGGTTTAAAAGCCTTTTCACTTACTGCTTCAAAAGCTCTTTTGTATTCAGCCAGCTTCTCCTGACTGAAAATGCAATACTTTGCCAAAAAGTCGACTGCAAACAGAAGAGAAGAAGACAAAGATCAACCTTTAGAGCTTGTGGAATGCATATAAACTGGACTTTCTGACTGCACAAGAGCAATATTTCATTTGTGCAATACATTTTATACCATACACAACAGTGGGCTCCAGCCTGAGTAACAGAATTAGGCTTCTCTGTGTGTGCGGAGTGGATTAGAGCAATATTTCTCTCCTCTGGTCACACCAGGGTCATAGAGTGTGGACAATACAGGGCGAGGGGTTCACAGGCGTCCAGTTGGCCATGATGAAGGGGGGGCAGAGTGGCACTTGGCTGCTGAGTCTTTCTTTTTTTCATATAAAGAAAGAAATTGAGATGAATAGAGGATGGAGGCACAGCGGCCAAGAGCTTGAAAAAAGTATTTATTCTAAGGGAATTTCTTCTGGGAAATGAAGACAGCATGAACAGAAAGAAAAAGTGAATGATAAGTAAGAAACTGGAACTTCTGAATTGCTCTAAAAGACCAATTATGAAATCTAATCTTCAACCATTTTAAACATCATATGAAACATTTTATTGACCAAATAGATAATTGAGAAAAAATATTGGCAAAACAATTGATCTTTAATATAATTGATGCAGTCCTATGTGTTCATCAAATAGTACCTAATCTCATATTACTGCCTTTTTAAAGACTCCATGTCCTATTATTATATACAAGCTAAACAAAAAGGCGATTTCCTTAGCTCAAATGATGAATATTAAGGTGTCCGAAATAAAAACAATGATTACCCAAGGGGGAGCAAACAGAGGCTAACCACACCTATGAATATTTCAGTAGGCAAATTTGGGATGGAAAGTGACTTGGAAAAAAAAGGGGTTAGAAAATGGGGGCTTTTAAGCTGCTGCCACTTCAATTTAGGAGATGAGAATGAGTCTACTGAATAATGAATCTATTCATCGGTTTGGAGAAGAAAGAGGAGCCACAGAGTTGATATCAGTCTGGACTTAAACCCCTGGACCTTTGGGGTTTCTCCCCAATAGCAGGGGGGCTGTTTGAATCTGCCATTTATCAGCTTAGGCCTAATCGAAACCAGGCCTTCCCCGGCCTCGTCCTTTCACATGCAAAATGTTACATTCACATCTAGTCAACTTGACTTGTTAAAGCTTGGTTGATCAACAAAAAAACCTGCGGTCTGCTTCACGCATCTGTTTGCAAATATCTGCGATGAGCAGGGGCTGCAGGACCCTGATCTGCAGCCCCTGCTCAGCCTACATGGGACCAGATTGAAAGTCCTAGCTCTTCAAAAGACACCAACACACATTCACACCGTGGCTGGATGGATCAGTGCACCGGTCAATTTGCTAAAGTGAAATGGAAGCTTATGTGAGAGTGAATAGATCCACCTTCTCTCTTTTACAACTGAGGTTCACTGGCCATCTGGAGGAAAGTGAGAAAGTGAGCCAGCAACACAGAAATGGAAACATTTATATTTTAAAAGTGTTTTTCTACTTCAATATTATACTGGAGATCCATTCAAATGTTTGTTTGGTGTGTGTGGCCTAGCATTACTATACTTGTGGGGACCTAAATCTGTTGGGGACTCGCCTCCCTAATGGGGACAAAATGGAGGTCCCCATGAGGGGAATCATTAATTTTAGGGTGAAGACTTGGTTAGGTTTAGGGTTAGGGTAAGGGTAAGGTTAAGGGTAAGGGTTAGGGTTAGGCATGTGTTGGTTATGGTTAAGGTTAGGATAAGTCTCCAGGAAATGCATGTAAGTCAATGTAATGTCCCCTGAAGTGATGTATACATGGTATGAGTGTGTGTGTGTGTGTGTGTGTGTGTGTGTGTGTGTGTGTGTGTGTGTGTGTGTGTGTGTGTGTGTGTGTGTGTGTGTGTGTGTGTGTGTGTGTGTGTGTGTGTGTGTGTGTGGAGGATACAGATGCATTATTATCTTTTGAGTCTACCGTTTTTTCCACAGGTGGAGGAGCATTTACTAACATAATATACTTAAATTCACTTTGAGGGAACTCATTGTAAAAATAGCCAAATTCCCAAAAGTCAGCACTAACATTATTTAACTTCATTTATGTGTTTCGATCTGGTTCATACGTTTCTTCTAGTCATGGGTCACTTTGCAGATCAGGATCTAACCTGATAAACACATAACATATACATGTATGATTAACAGATACTGCTACATATGAATCTTCATTAAATTGTGCAGTAGTATTCATAAAGTTATCTTATTTTGTTTTGCTTTCATCTTGCTCAATACGAATCTGTTTGGCATCATATTTTTGTATTAAATATGTACCAACACATTACGAGGCAATCAATTAATGGTTTCAGGCCGACATTAGACAAGTTTGCGTTTGCTTTCTGACAGGGCCATTTTTATATTTAATGTTTTGCCACTGTAGAAATATTGATTTAATCAAGCAAATAAATGACAAGAAATGAAATGACAGATATACGAGTTGATATAAGATATCTTTTGAAACAGTGTCTGAAAAGCATGTGTTCGGAGGCAAAATGGGATATTTTAACTTTTAGTCCTCGGGATTGTGAGAAACAGCATTTTGATCTGCCTGTCTGTATCTCACACACAGAAGAATGACAATAAAGTTGACTTTGGCTTGAATTTTGACTTTGATTTGAAAATATTACATATAATGTTAAAAGTTCGATTTTAAATTGTATACTAAGGTAAAGAGAAAATGCTGAAAGAATCAGAGTGTAAGGAAGTTCAACATCAGACCAACACACACCAACACACCCCCATACAAAGTGCAGTGGTGGAGGGCGGGGGGGTCCTGGCTGAGGGGAGCACTCCGTCAGGGAATCAGCCGGACAAAAGGTGCAGTGGAGTGAGAGATTGAGGGAGGAAGCAAGGGCGGGTGGAGGAGCAGGACAAAGCGAGGCAGTAAAGCCTCCTGCCTGATAGCCTTATCTGATTCCACTCCAGCGCTTGATGGCTTTTTTTTCACCCTGCCTTTAAAGCGCACAGGTTGTGCCTTTGGTGTGAAGCCTAGCAGAAAATGTTAATCAAGAGAGGGACTGTGTGGAGAGAGGCGAGAGAAAGGGGAGAGTCACTCTGTTGAGGCCATAATCTGTAATGAGACCGAGGTGATTCAGTTGCAATTGAGAGACGAAGAATGGGGCCATGATGATGATGATGAGCAGGGAGGTTCACTCTTTCACTGGCGTTTGTTTTTCTGTTTTGTTCCTTTTCTCTTGCAGAACTACGGCTCCTGCACCGGTCTGCAGGCTGCAAACAGCCGTGGGTCACAACTCATTTAACACACTTGGACGTCATTTTCCATGTCTGCAGCTGACAGATGAAAACCACTGCTGACTGCTCCTCTGACAACTATTGGTAGTCATCTGTGTATGATTTATACTTCCTTTTGTAATGCTTTTTTTGGTACAGCTGAAAAGTGACCGTAGCTCTGAGTAACAAAACTGCCTGATATAAGGTGGAATCAAATATTTCATATATTGTTTCTTTGGGTACATGAAAAAAACATTTTGTTGGAATTAAATAACTTTTAAAAGCAGCGAGATTAATTAAATTAGTGTTCTCCACGGGGCAGGACTCAAAAGTTAAAAACTGGAAATACTGGAGGGCCAAAATGTGAAAAGCAACAAAATAGACCAATTATAAAATCCAATCTGCAACTTTTTTGGATAATAGTTTAAATAATTTCTTCAATCGAAAATGCCCAAACATTTCTGTATCCAACTTCTCTTATTTGAGAATTTGTTGCATATCTTTGTGTTTTGCTCTTTTAGTTGTGATTAAACAAACGTCACTTTTTAGAAACTTCTTCTTTCACTGCTTTACGAAATGTTATAAAAATCTATAAAAAAATAAATAAAAGTATTAAAAAGACCTTGACGTCATTAATAGTTGTTAATGTTGAATTTTGTAAAGGGACATCTTTTGGCACCATCATCACCAGCATTATTGCTTGCTAAAAGTGTTAAAAATACATCTTGTATCAACTTTTAACGGCTTTACGGAACTAAGAGGAGCTCCAGTCAGTAGGTCACCATGGAAGTTAAAGGCATGTCTCCTAGCAACATCGTCTAATCTCCTAGCAACAGCTCAGATATTTCGTGCCACAAATATACCTAAAAACGACTCATCCTGCATTCAAAACTGGAAGAGAATACATGCTAGCCGCAAAGTCATTCTAGTTTGGATAACTTTTCAGAGCAAAAAAAAAGTAACGTCATTAATTTAAACTGCATTTAATTATTAATTGTTTGGTTGTTTGTGTTAAAAGATCATGTCTTTTTTGGTAACTTTGGCTTCTTTTAAAATGAAAACTTTGGTAGAGAAATATTACACAATTATCAAAGTATTATCTTAGTATCAAGTCAGGTACTGTATCTTAAAGGTCCCATGTCATGGCCATTTCTACTGATCATATTTCCATTGTTGAGGTATACTAGAATAGATTTAAATTGTGCTATTTTCCAAACTCACATTGGTTTCTCATCCAGCATCTCTGTATAGTATGTGTATTCACCAGGTATTCACACTCTTGTCCTAAACGGCTTGTTGGAGCTCCTGCTCCCCCCTCCCTGTGAGCCCAGTGTGCTCTGATTGGTCGGGACGTTGCGAGGCTCGTTGCGAGGCTCGTTGCGAGGCTCGTTGCGAGGCTCGTTGCTGCTCGCCGCTGCTGCGAGCTGCTGTGAGGAGCGGACAGGTTTCCGGGTCGGCGATACAGCGAGAACAAGCGAAACTCATCCTGAGCACACACAAACACTCACAGCCAAAGTAAAAACAATAAGTGTGGCTTGATGTTGAGTAAGAAAAAGGTTTATTATAACGCTGTGAGAATGGATCTGCGGAGAGCATTTCTCCGCCATCCCAACTCGTCTATTACCAGCGTTTAGGGAGCTCTATGCAAGTCAATGGGACTCCCTGTTAGTTAGCCAAGGGATCCTGGTGTGAGGTGCTCCGCGGATTGGTCAATTTGGGCCAATCCGGTCATTTGTTGTTGATTTGGGTATTCACACGTC